CCTTTGGTGTTGAGTCATGCCGGCCACATGACCATGGAGATGTCTTCGGACAGCACTGGCTCTTCGGCTTTGAAACAGAAATGAGCACCGCGCCCTAGAGTCGGGAACAATTATCACATATGTGCGAGGGGAACCTTTATCTTTAACAATTCCAGTAGCCAAAAAGGCTTTTGTGTCTGCTTCCAGATAGGCTTGAACAGCCCAAAGCATCCCAGCTGTGAGTATTGCAATGCCTCCTCTTCTTGGCAAGTAGAATTTCTTATCTTTCTGGCATGCAACCTCTTGTTGATTTGGCCTTAAGATGTACTATCTCCTTAGGAACTGGATCTAAAACTCAAAAAACCTCTAGAATTTAAGTTTGTATGATGTTGTGCAATTTGTAACAAAAGGATCTAAATAATACTATTTCTTATTGCAGTATGTTACCAAATGCTTAGGTAATCTCTTAATATCTATTTTTAAAGTGAAGAAATGCAACTGAGGCGAACAATTGACCAGTCTGGGAATTTTAGAAATAGACACCTGATTGCAATAATTTATAAATTCTTGTAGTGAAACATGGATTTATTGCTTTTTCTTTTCCTTCACAATGCAACAGATAATTGAAAGTAGTAGTAATGATTCACTTGTATTCACTTGTATATCATTTCAGTGGGATGTATTCAGCCTTAACAGGTAAAAATATTATATAGGAAATGAGGCATGTGCAGCCTTATGGGTATCAACAATGATGCAACTTTATGTAACTCTGGATTACTAAAATATTTTATTTGTAAATTTAAAAGCACCACATCCAACACTTTATTTCTTCTTGAAATAATAGAAATTTATTCTAGGGGATACCTAGAAACTAAATTTTTGCAAAATTGTCAGTGTCACCTATAGATGAATGTGCTATATCTTCAACATTCCTCCAGGGCTGGGCTTCAAAAATTTCAGCAATGGGTTCTCTGCCCAGTTGCTGGGTGGGCGTGGCCATGGTGAGTATGCCCTAGTCAGCCTCCTGCATCACAGTGGTGGTGGGTCTTTTTACCTTCCCCAGGCTCATGCGGCTTTCTTTGACCCTCTGGGAGGGTGAAAATTCACAGTTCCATTAGGCTTGCAAGTAAGTTGGCTGCCTTTGCATTACAAAAGGCTTTATTACAGATATGATTGGATTTTAGGGATTACAAGAGTCACTGCTTTCTTCCTGGTGTTCAGCATCATGACTAATACTTTAGCCCCAGTTTTGAGCAGTAATAACAACAGTCATAACTAACTTCCCCAAATTCATTCTTCCAGATTTGAAGTGCAAGGAAGCTGCAGTGGCACATTCCTTGAGAAAGAATCTGCTTACTTTTATGGAAAGTCATTTGTTGCAATTCTGTAAACGTCATGGTCTTGTATTTTAATGCCTGCCTTGATGCTACACTGAGAAGCCAGACTGGAATTGATCACTGCCTCTCTGAGAAGAGCTGGGATAAAGTGGTGATATTTTTGTCTTAGTTACAGAGAACTTTCCAAAACACCCTTAGCAATTCTTGACTGGAAAAGATGTCGCAACATTCACAACAGGATGGTAGGATGTATCCTTTCCTCTTGCAGTAAGGGAGCACAGAGTTTTACTTGGATCCTGATAGGTTTTCACACTTACATGTTAACAAGCAACAACAGGATTTCTCTGCTAGGGTTTAAACATGTTCTAAGTATGCCTTCAAGTTCTCAAAATATAACACTTCCCATCATTTTTAAGGTAGAATGGCATTGAGAATCAGAACAATGTGCATTTAATATTCCAGAGCGACCTGCTATTGACTCAGGAAATCTTGTTTTAATAAAATAGTACAATCTTGTGTACTATTTGTGTACTTGGTGGGATTCAATTTTTTTTTACTACTAGTTCTGTGGGCGTGGCTTTGCGGGCATGGCATGGCTTTGTGCTTGTAGCAAGGGACGGATATTGCAAAATTCCCCTCCCCTCCCCACCCCACTAACCTGCTTTCCAGTTCCGTTCTCCTGTTCAGGGCAACAAAGGAAGATCAGCTGGGAGGCAGCAGGGGCGTGGCCAGCCTATTTGCTGGTTCTCCGAACTACTCAAAATTTCCGATACTGGTTCTCCAGAACCTGTCAGAACTGGCTGAATACTACCTTTGTACTCTTGTATATAACAAAGTAAAAAAGCTCCACAAATGACTATATGTATTAACAGCTTTTCTATGCATATATATATA